AGGAAGAGGAGATGTTCAAGGATATTCATTTGGAAATGGGGTTGTAAGGTAGATGAATGGACATCGTTTGGATTCATGACGAAGAGTAGGAACTCAAGGTCGACACTGCCTGGGTCCTGTGTAAGCACACTTTGCTGACTGTCCCTGAAGGGTGTCCTAGGAAAGTGTAAGTTCTCTCTGTGGGTAATTTGGGCTTCCTGGGCATTTCTGATGTTTTGCTGATGCCGTCAGCTGGAGGTCAGCCAGGCCAGCTGGAGGTCTTTCTCACCCTCTTCCCCCATCATCTTCCTGCTTTACTCTCCTGCCTCGGCGGAGACTGACAGTTTACATAAGGACTGGGGCATCTGTAGGTTTTGGTGTCTGGGAGGCAGAAGCTGGAGCCGTCACTGGCTTGATCCCGAGTGATGGCTGTGTTTCATTTCAGAGCGAAATGTATTATTTTAGTGTAAAGTGTTAAACAAATTGTAAATTATACTTTACTTTGTATGTATATGTGTATGTATGGGTGTGTATATGTGCATGCGTGCATGCATCCGTGTGTGTGTGTGTGTGTGTGTGTGTGTGTGTGTGTGTGTGTGTGTGTGTACAGTCATGCCAGAGCACGCCTGTGGAGGTCAGAGGATTTGCAGGAAGTTCTCGCCTTCTGCCATGTGATTTCTGGGGATTCAACTCAGGTCATCGGTCTTGGCGCAGATGCCTTTGCCCACTGAGCCAGCCTGCCAGCCCTCTACCAAAAAAACTTTTAAATGTAAATGAAGGCTCACCCCAACACACATATGGTATTACTTCACACACGACACGCATTTCAGCAGATGAGCCAGAGGTCTAGGGTAGGCGTTTTGCTGTGGTGGCTTAGAGAAAAATGAGTAATAAACCAGGAAGGAAGGAGCCCCGCTGTTATTAAACCGAACAGCAATGCGAACATCAGCACTGTTTCGGAAGGGCTGTCCGTTGGCTCCCGTGTGGGTCAGGCCCCTGCAGATCTGCCTGTGTTGGTGAACCTCAGAAGGGAGGCGGCAGCCTGCAGAGTCAGCATGCATGGCACCTCCCAGTGTGGCAGCTGTGGTCAGGGATTGTGCAAGATGAGACAAGATGAGGTCAGAGAAGAAGGGTCTTGCCCAAGCCCTCGGCCCCAGCGGGACTTATGCGGAGGCCTTTGACTTCCCCAAATGTCTCCAGTTTGCTCATCTATATGGTGAGAATGGTACCAGGTTTACTCTGTTCATGGGGCTCCTTTGAGGACTGCAGACATCATGCCTCTGAAAATGTAAAGGGAGACATTAAAGGACAGTCCAAAAGGGGAATCCAAGGTGCCTCTTGGTGGGAAAGCATGAGACCATACCATGTAAACAGTGGGGAGAGCGTGGGCCTGGAGGTTGTGTAGAGTGCTTGACGAGAGGTCTATGGGCCCTGGGCCCCAAGCCCTGCACTGCATAAAATGAACAAACAAATAGTAGAAGTTAGAAACCACTAATTGTTGTCTTTAGTTTTCAGCTAAAGGTAGAAATATCTAAATGAATAACACCCCGTTCTCTCCTTTTTTTTTTCTGTTTTGAACATTGTTTTGTGCTAAGAATGTAGTAACATCTGTAACCCATGAATGATGTGTGTGTGTGTGTGTGTGTGTGTGTGTGTGTGTGTGTGTGTGTGTTAAGATTGCAGTAACGTCTGTAGCCCACACAAATGATATGTGTGTGTGCATGCGCACATGTCTGATTTTTTTTCTCTCTTTTTCTCTTCTTTTTTGTCCATACACTGATTGTTTCTCACAGTGTCTAGGGTAGCCTAAACATCTCCAGGCTGGCGCTTTCCTGGGTGTCCTTTGGGTTTCAAAGCAGGAGCACGAAACTTGGTATGATTTCTGTGGTTCTTTTATTTGTTTGTTTTTATATTTATGTGTCGCTTATGGCCTAGGATGTTTCATGGGAGCCGTAGAGTTCAGATGGGAGGTTATAGATCAACCAGATCAAGTTGATTGTTGGTGTTGTTCAGATCATCTTCCTCTGTTCTGGGTTTTTTTTTGTTTTGTTTTGTTGTTTTTGTTTTGTTTTTGTTTTTGTTTTGCGTGCTGAACTTGTCCATTTCCCATGGATGGTGTTAAATCTCTATTTAATGGCGGCTTCTCCTCTGCTGTTTTATCAGCTTTGCCTTATGTGTTTTGGCACTCTGTTGTTGAGTGCGTACATGTTTTTATGTCTTCTGGTAGACTTTGCCTCTTTATGTTCTGCAGCCTGATAGGTCTTGTTTTAAACTCTTGGTCCTTCTGTTTTCTTTTGATCAGCTTTAGCACGGTGCGTGTTTCTCCAGCCCTTTACATTGAATCTGCTTCTGCAGCTTTTCAGTGAGTTTCTTATAAATTATGCAATGCGCGATTGTCTTCTTTTTTTTACTCTTGTACTCATATTTTAGTATCTTCAATAATCTGAGAATTTCATAAATGTATACAGTGTATTTTGATTATATTCATTTCTCCCATTCCTCCCCTTAATTCCTCCTGGGTTTATCCGTGCCCTTTATCCTCTCCTCACTTGGTGCCCTCTATTTTTTTTTTAATTTAATAACCCACCGAGTCTACTTTGTGCTGCCCATTTACTCCTGTGTGTGAGGCCATCCATGGGAGCAGAGTGGACCTACCAGGGGTGACACCTTTAAAGCAAACAAACTCCCCATTCCTCAGAAGCCATCATTATCTCCTCAGCTAGGGTAGGGGCTGATGAACCCTTCACCCATGCTGGAGTGTTGATTGGCTTGGTAGTATGCAGGCAACCACAGCAGCCCTTTGCCCGAGTCTGGCGGTCCTGTGGTGTCTGCATCTTTTAACTGTTTTTTTTTTTTTTAAAGACCACTCGTGTTTAAAGTGATTTTTGATATGGTTGCCTGGCAGCTATAATACCTCGTGGATGGCTATTTTCAATGTATTGTCTTTTTCCTTTTTCGTTTTTCTGACTCTCCTGCTTGAATATATATGGGATTGCCAGGCTACCACTATTAATAGCCCATCATTATACTTAAAAAAAAAATTCAGTGATTGCCCTAAAGTTTGAAGTCTGTATTTATAAACATAACGCGGTCTCTGAAAGCATTATGTCACCAGATTGTGTAGAAAATGGCCCTAGTAACAGAGTATCCATCTTTCCTAGCTCCTGCCCCTGTGATGGGCTGTAGCCGTGGCTCTGATTTCACTTCTCTATGCAGGGCTTATTTTCTGATTGTTGTAAGAAGTCTCTGTTTCGCGACTTGCCTGGCTTCTGCCTGTGGCGATGGGAGTTGTGACCCTTTAGGTTTCCACACAAGGAAGCCGGTGTCTTTGGTTTCTGCCCCGATTGTGTCAAGGTAGTGTCCCGCCACAGTGTCCTGCAGTCCCTGGCTGTGATGATGGAGAGGGCTCTTGTCACACAAGGCTCAGAGAACTGTTGTGAGAGGCTGGGCTGTTTGGGGATTTTGAGAATTGACCTAACCTGTAAGCACCTTTAGAGAGGCCCTTGTTCTTCTGGCTTTGAGCCTAATGTTATCACTTCAGAATAGCTCTGGGTCCTTTTACATTGGTGAGATGTTTAAAAGGCTCTGTTGACCCAGCGCGTTTTGCTCTGATAAGTGGGTAGTTACCATCTGCATGCTCTTTGCATGCAGAGTTTCATCTTCTGTCATCTGTGGGATTAGATATAGCTGATTTAGACACACAGATAGGCTTGGAGAAATGTAACGCATGGCTTTGATGGAACTTTCCCTAGAAAGAGGTCATTTCAATTTTTTAGCTTTCAAACAGGAACTACAAAAGGAGCCAGACTTCAAAGGTTAGATTCTATTTGTATGAACTTTACAGAAAGACGCAAGACCATGGGTGCATACCAGAAGATGACTGACTTACTGTGTGAGAGATCTAAGGGGTTTTATTTTAGATTAAAATTTTCTTTATCTATTCATTTACTGGATATGCACGTATTCATGTTGGCTGTACCCTCTCACTGGCCCTGAGGTCTTATTTTGAGGTCATGTAGATGATGGTGTAGCTATATGATCCTGTGAGATAACCAGCCACACTGACTTGTAAACTCTAAAAGCACAATCTTACGTTATGTGAATAACACGAATGTAATACATTGAAAATGCACATGCCGGACAGTACAGAATCACATGATCGATACAAGGCACTTCTCCCTCCTGTCCAGGCCTTTGGTGTTTGGATACAGAACCATCCACGCCTGCATGGCAGTCTTCTCCTTGTTAGGGCCCCCATCTCTTCCAGCACACATATGTTTTAGATAGAAAAATAATTTATCTTGCTCTTTGGAGAAATTTTCCCCCTGCTCAGCAAACACAAACCCACCTCGTTCTTCTTAAAGACACGTCGCCCAGGGAACTGCTTCCTGAGTCCTCTAAAGTCACAGAGTGTTTTATTGTCGCACATCTCTAAATAAATTAGCTTTTTTTTTCTAGTGTAGCGTCCCGACGGCAACAAGATTCTTATTTTGTGCCTGCTTCGGCATCCAGTCGGGTAAATCAATTGGTTCTTTGTGAGCGTCTTGAAGCTTGAGAATCAGGTTTTTTTTTTTGTTGTTGTTGTTGTTGTTTTTGCTTTATGAGTGATTTCTTTGAGTTAGGAGTGATGGTCAGATAACCAGAGGCCTTTCTTTTCAGGAAGAGAATTAAAAACAAATAACAACAACAACAAAAACCCCAAAACAACTAACCCTCAATTAATTGGTATCCACTGAGCCAATGAGAGTGCTTCAGGGCTGCCTTGAGAAATGCTTCAGTTGCTTAATGTACCCCAGAGAAGGGCAAGTGTTAAATAGGTCCCTTCAAGACAACTCGAAAGGGATTGCTGTGGCGCACTGGGTAGCTTCCCAGTGGACAAGACTCTCAGTATAGTATGCATACAAACAGAGAGGTGCTTTATTGAAGCCAGACAAGACCCCCATTCATATTGAAGGCTAGAAGCTCACACATGTGGAAACCTCGGCCTGCAGCCGCTGTGAGAACCTCCCTGCCGAGAGTTGTGAAATCCTGACTTTCAGGATGAACAGCCACTAGAAGATAGTCCTGGGCTTGGGAATGGAAAGACCTGGGGAGAAGCAGCCGGGTCCTTTGGGTCCTTTCTGTTGTGTGTCTGTGCAAGGAGTCACAGGTCTTTCCTCTTGTAGTGGTAGCCACAAGCAGGTGAGCAGAGGCTGAATGTCAATATACTGAGTGTGAGAGTGTGTGTGTGTGTGTGTGTGTGTGTGTGTGTGTGTGTGTGTGTGTGTGTAGATGGGGGTAGACAGCGAAAAGAAGAGAAAGAAAGCCCTGTTCCTCTGTGGGGCTGGGAATGCAAGGGAATGAGGCCCTTCCTGTAGGGCTTTAACTCAGTTTGTGGTATGTTATACATGGTGTATGTGATCCTTTGTCAGACAAAGGAAAAAATAAGAAGTGGGTAAAGTTTACTGTGCTGAAGATTGTTAATCTCTGAAAATCTAAGGTTGTACAGGCAGAGACTAAAAGTTCCAAAGAGGAGCAAACTGTGGAGTCAGTTCCCTTTTGGATTAAATTGACCACTGACGCCCTTTCTCTTTTTATCTGGCGTCCTCTAGAAGAACGGTATGTCTTCAGTCCTGCTCACAGATGTAATATTATGCACGTGTTTTGCATGTTCCCTTTTTATTTCCAGGTGTGTCTTGGACATCTTTCCAGACCAGCACATGAAGGGCCAGCTCTTTCTTACTCATGGGGATGGCATCCTGTCACTGAATCAGCCTGTTATCCTCACTTACGTCTCCCAGTGTTTGCTCCTGCAACGACTCCCAGGGCTGAGACATCACACTTCATCACTCCTCCTGTGTGAGGGTTCCCTGGTGTGGTCCTGTCTCCCGACTTCCTAAAGGACGCTGGGCGTCGCTTTGGCCGCATTGATTGCTACTGACACCCTATGCTGTGTGTCCCTGTGAGTTGTCATTAGAGGGGTGAGGCACATCCGCACACGTCTATTGTCCTTTCCTCCGGTGCCCATGCTCGGATGACTCTTGGCAGTCTCCTGACACCTAGAGTTCTTCTGGCTGGCCCAGAGCAGCCCAGGGACCCATTGCTTGCCACCTGCCTAGAGCCTCACAGGTGTACACACGGCGTGAGAAGTGCTCTGCCACTCACAGCCAGGTGCTCCACGGCTCACACTGAAAACCTGGGAGCATCTCTGGCCTTTTCTCTTCCTCCCCCGCTCTTCTTCCCTCCCCTCCTCTCCCCCTCACTCTACTCTTTCTCCTCCTTTTCCTCACTTCCCTCCCTCCTCCCGCTGCATCCTGACCTCCCCTCCCCTTTCTCTACCGTCAGTTGCTCCGGAAACTCACTTCAGAGCACATCTGGCTTTGACTCCTCTGGCCACAGCTGCTAGGGCTCCCCTGAGTCCTGCACACAAGCCTTGCTGAGCTGGTTCCTTCTCAGCTGCCTTTACACCCTGCTTCCTCATTTCAGTCAATCTGTTAGCGCTCTTCAGGGACTGTGAGAGACCGGTCTAAGAAACAGCACCCTTCCCGTGCAAGGCTTTACCTTACTCTGTCACTTACAACTCACAAGCATGCACGTGGGTGTGCTTGTGTATGTGTGTGGATAGGTATGCCTGGGCACGGACACTGAGAAGGTTTAGCAGGCCTGTCCCACCATTCCACGGGCCAACAGATTGTCATCTACAGAGTTTACATTTGTGCAATCAAATTACAAAATAAAATTGGAAAAAAAAAAGTCTCATAATGTTTGTAGTGAATAAGTATGGTTTTGTATTAAGCTGGCATGGCTATCCTGGGGCACATGCAGCTCCAGAGCTATGGTTGGATGTGCTGGGAAAGGTGCCAAGTGATGATTCCAACTTTGTATTCTTCTCACAAGCCTGGTTATTTTAGTGACTGCCTTTATTTAATAAGGCATGATCACACATAACCCTTTTATATAGAGATGTGCATATACCTGGTGAAAGGAATCAGTGAGATCATTTCTTCATGTTTTCTGCATAAGCTTGGCCTTTGGGGGCTTTTATATTTGTGGTGGCATCCATGTTCGAAGACATGAATTAATTAGACGCTATTGGGATTGCCTGCTAGGAAATGAAAAGTTTCACTCCATAATTTATTATATTTGCTCACTGGGACTAAAAGAAGTGAATTTTGTTAATTTCTAGAAGGGTTATGGGAAGACTTGGGGGTCCATGTTGTGTAGAATTCTTTTTTTTAAAGGTTTATTTATTTATGTGTTTATGTATATGAGTGCTCTACATGCATATATTCTTGTATGACAGAAGAGGGCATCTGATCCTATTATAGATGGTTGTGTGAGCCACCATGCGGTTGCTGGGAATTGAACTCAGGACCTCTAGAAGAGCGGCCAGTACTCTTAACCGCTGAGCCATCTCTCCAGCCCCCTTGTAAGTAAGATTCTTAAGATCAAAGACTCCTTGCCCATCACTACTCCAGTCATACCTGCCTGTCTCTCCGCCGGAGTCCAAGTACCGTTGTGAGACAGAGGGTACAACCAACGTGTCCACTGCTGGTATCCGCAGAAGGGTTATGGAAACTGGCAGGGCTCATTGGATGCACATGGAGAGGGCTGAGCACCCACAGGTCTCATCACTGGCTCATGTTGCTGGGTGAGAGGTTCTGGATACTCTGGAGTCACAGTCCTTGCCTGGGGACTGTATGGTAGAGCATGCATGACAGATAGCCAAGGAAGAGACACCGGCACTTTAAAAAAAGATCACACTTTATTGCTCTTTATGTATTCTCTTCCCTAAATCAGTAAGCCAATGAGAGATAGCTTAAGACACCTTTACCATTTACCACCATTAATAGTGTCTTCGGACAACTGAGCTCTAAAAATGCAAATGAGGGGCTGGGGAGGTGGTTCAATAGTTAGTAACTATTACTGCTCTTGCAGGGGACCAGAGTTTTGTTCTTAGCACCAACACTGGGCAGCTCAACAACTGCCTGTCACTCTAGCCCTGGGGAATCTGATTCCTCATTCTACTCTCTGTAGTTACCTGCAGGCACAGGCACAGGCACATGTACACACACACATACCTGTCCATAAATAACAAAATACATTTAAAATGCAAATGACTCACACCTATAGAAGGCATCTGCACATAATACATGCATTCTATGCGCCTCATTAGCATATGTTAATTATACATAGTAACAGGGCTCCTTGTGGCATTTTCACACGTGTGTGTATATAATGTATTTTGATCATATTCACCCCATTTCCCTCTCTTGTTTCATCCCATTCCCACTGGTCTCCTTCTCCCCGATCGATATCCCTTGTACTTCCATGTCTTATTTGTGCCCATTTTCCAGGGTAGATGCAAACAGGCTTTGTGGCCATGAGCTTTGGGAATGAGGGAGCCAGTGGGCTTTGTAGCCTGAGAGGTTTGAAGATCAGGGACACAGGGCTCCTAGCGCTGCGCCTGGGTAGTTTTGCAGCTGGATGGCCTTAGCAAAGCTCTTCTTGATGCAGCTCAGAAAGGCTCCAGTCACCAGTGTGCTGTCTGAGCAGAATGCCTCTTTCCTGCTGGCGGTCGCAATGCTATTTCTAGGCTCTTCCTATGTGGGAACACCAGCAGCAAGGTACATCTCTAGAAGGAATGTGTTGTCTTTTGTCTGAAGAGTCAGAAGTTATTGCCAAGTGAAGGCAGAGAATAGACCAGTAGCCTAGCAGTGGCATTTTCTGGAATTGGCATACTGAAGCCATTCAAGGCCAGTTGCCTGCAGGTGAGAGGCTTAGGAGTAGGGGGTTAGGGCTCTGCTGGAGAAATAGAGTGTTCAAGGCCTTGGGCGTGAGCAATCTGCTCATGAGTGTTAAAAGAGACATTAGCATTTGCATGCTGTATGGGAAAAGCCTGATGTTCTAGTGTAAGGGAAGAGAGAGGGATACACCAAAGAGACATAGGTCTGTCTACTAGGATGCCCCCCCCCCCCCCCCCCCCCCCCCCCCCCGTACATGGCTGCTCTCAAAGCCCTCACTGAATGGACCAGGAAACCTTTTCATACTGGAGCAGGAAATGGCCACTGATGGTTTGTGCTCCATGACCGTAAACCCATCAAAACAAACACAGTTCCTTCAGGAGTGTTGTAGTCCTGGTGAGCAAAGCCATACTTGAAGAAAAGCAAAAGTTTTAGACATTCTGGTGCACTCTTACCCTATACTCCTGGCTTCTTCCAAGGGCTTGTGCTTACCCTACTCTCCCTCTTTTCTTCCCCTCTTCCTTCCCTCCCCTTTTAAGCTAATAGTTTTCCATTCCTGCTGTCCATAGCATAAAACTCATTGTCTTAGAGTCCCCATGCAGGGGTTTTGAGTATGTTTGCAGATGGTCTTGTGACTGTCACCATGACCTGATTCCAGAATGCTTTCGGTAGTCTCCAGTAACCCAGGACCATGCAGTGCGTCTCAGAAAACCAGGCGTTGTCTTTCTCTTTCCATTGATTTTCATGTTGGGACATCTGACCCATGAGTGGTTGCATATAATGAAGGGCTCCTGTGCCCAGTGTCCTTTGCTTAGCATAGTGTGTTCAAGATTGACCTTCAGGTTGGGGGAAATGGCTCAGTGAGTAAAGTGCTTGCCGAGGACCCAAGTACAACCCCTCAGGACACATGTGAAAACCCAGGCATGGCTCTTGCAACCCTAGCACCGGGGGATAGAGACAGAAGAACCACCAGGCTTGTTACCCACCAGCCTTGGTCAAGTGGTGAACTTTGGTTAAGTGAGAGACCCTGTGTGAAGTTTTGTTAAGTGAGAAACACTGTTTGAAAAAAAAAAAATGGGTGTGATAGTGATTTAAGAAAGACATCCCAGGATCAACCTCTGGCCTTCATTACTGTCTGCACCGGTGAGCGTACCTACATATCTCACACACACACACACACACACACACACACACACACACACACACACACACACACCACACACACACACACACACACACCCGCACACAGCACACACACACACACACACACACACACACACGCACACACACACGCACACACCACACACAGGCACACACACTCACCACACACACACACACACACACACACACACACACGCACACACGCACTTTGTGTCTTAGTGTAAATCAGTACTGTAGTTCCTTTCAAGACCAAAACAGTTGCATGGTCACGCAACACTCACCAGTTAATGGACATGTGGGTTGTTTTCACCTGTAGCCTAGTGTGAGTGATGCTACTTTGATCATGTGTGTGCAGGACTTAGTGTGTAGCTGTCCTTCGCATTTATCTCAGGCATTTCCTGGGTCATAGGCCACCCTTAGCTTTCAAGATCTGCAAAGTGTTTCCCAAGCAGGCCTCACTGCTTCCCACCCCCTGCCAGCCCTGTAGATTTCTCTGCATCCCATTGGAACCGTTTAATATAATTACTAATGGAGAATGCGTGCCCGCCTTCATGCTGTTTCCCACGGCTCTTGTTTCTCCTAATTCCATTTTTCTCATTATGCATTCTTGAGTTGTGTTTTTCAACGTTGCTTTTCTTGATGGGAAGAAACTTTCCATTGGGTGTCTACTATAGAGAGCAACACTAGCTGTCTCCCTGTAGGAATCCTGCTGGGACAGAGCTGGCTGGTTGAGGACTGGAGGATGGTCCTCAGTGATGGGCTGGTCTGTTGATTCGTTGGTGGAATTTGCTTCTGTTACCTGGTGAACCGTCATTGTTTCTCTAGCAGACTATCATGTTATATGCATGCTTCCTGTGCTAAGTTCTCAGACAGCTGTTTACCCAGCTTGGGCTTGGAGACAGAAAGATCAGTGTCAACACCTTGGTCCTTCTTAGCATCCGAGCCTTGTCACCCTACAGCTATTCCTGTGCTGACCTCTCCATTCTCTTGCTCCCTAGGTACTTTGTGCTCTGCTGCTGAGTCTGGCGTACCCAGGGCTCCCGTTCTCAGCTGGAGGGGCCCTTGAACAGAGACCTCTTTCTTCTACTTAAGGGAGGAGGAAATCTGAATGCTCACGAGCACAGCGGGACCCCAAGACCTGGCAGGAAGATACCGCCACTCCTCACCTCTGCCCTTCTCACAGGTACCTTTGGACTCTGGGAAGGAAGGCCTAGAGACCTCTCTTATCTCTTTCTCACTGTCAAAGTGTCTCTGGGAAGGAAGGCTTAGAGACCTCTCTTATCTCTTTCTCACTGTCAAAGTGTCAGTGCCGGGGGACAGTTGACCTGCCTCAATAGACCTTCTTACACTTCGTATGCCATGTAGGTGAATTCCTTGCGGGTCTCTCCTGAATGAGTTTCATGGAGTGCTGTGGATGCACTTTTGTTACATTTATGCTTTATAATGTGTCGCTCTTTGGCTTGCTGCTTGCTTTCACAGTGTGAGGCTGATGTCGCTAACCTCATGCTGGAGGTAAGTGACGGGTTCAGAACGCTGTTGTCACTTATGTGACTCACGGGGGCAGGGGTGGTCTCCTGTATTCATTCATGCACTGGCAAGAATGAGTTCTTGTGTGTACCTGGTGCTCTTCTGATACAGCAACACCAGGGCTGCCTCTTGCTGTCTGTCAGGTGGGAGGTGAGAGGATGGGGTAGGGACAGCCGTGGGAGACACCATCTATAGCTGACGGCGTGAGGAAGCGGATTATGAGGCTTGACAGGACACAGGTGTTGTAGAGAAAAGAAAATATAGGGAAAGCTTTATAAGTACACACATAAGCAGTTTTTATGGGTGGCCAGGACTTTTTAAACGGGTGGGATTTGAACTCAGACCTCAAGGAGTTGCACGCTTTAGCCACTTAGCACCTGGGCAAGAACATTGCCGAGGGAAACTGAGGTCACCAAGGCCTGAGAGCAGTGCATCCTGGCAGCTTGCAGAAGCTCTGTGGAAGACAAGAGTGTCTCGAAGGGAGCCTGGGAAAGCCAGAGTCAGGCTGGGTCCAGAGATGGCAGGAATCTGGGTTGTCTGACATGACGGCCATTCAGAGATTTCAGGTCACATCCTAGGAAACCTGTGCAGTTTTATTGAAGCAGAGGAGGAAGGGAATCCGCATTCCATCTGAGTAGACTCACTTTGGTGGCTGTGATGGAGTCGACTCAGAGGGTGAAGGACAGACGTACAATCTAGGAGGTTGGTCCCATTCACCAATCACTAGGAGAAATCCCTGCGGCATCAAGGGCAGCGTATTGTTCAGGCACAGAAGACATAGAAAAAAAGTGGGCAGTCACTAGATATATCTTACAGATAGATTCCGTAAGATGTCATGAGAAAAAGGAAAAAGGTTTGTGAAATAAAATCTTCATACCGCTGGCCAGGAGGGAAAGGGTGACTGGGGAAGGTTTGGATTCAGGAAGGAACTGGAAAGTTCCTTTTGTAGACGTGTTGAGTTTTTGATGATTCTGGGACGCCCCGTGAGGATGCTGCCGCACTGGCCACTCTCCCCAGAGCCTACGTTAAGAGACTGGTCCACACTGAGATGGAATGAATGGGATTCTGACCAGTGGCCGCTGCTTGAAGGAATAAGATGTGATGTGCCCGGTGAGGGAAAAATTTAGAAGTTGAGCTGTGGGACCTTCTAGCTTCAGGAAGAGCATGAGTGGAGGGTTGGCCAGAGAAGGAGATCTACAGGAGACAACCAGGAAGGAAGGGGACGCAAGGGCTGGCCATGTGAAGGCATTTTCAGAAGGAGCCACCAAGGAGCTGTCTCAGGGGCTCATGGCCTGGGTGAGGTGAGTCAGACTGATGGATGCTGGGATCTGAGCCATCTGGGTCACTGGTGATGCCAGGGGGGTGGTTTGGTCTGGTGGCTGTGACGGTGCTGGCAGGAGTGATGGAGACCGTTGGGAGGTGCTTTGAGCAGCTTTACTGCGGAAAGAGCATAATCGAGGGTGCAGAGTTCAGAAGAGTTATTTATTTTTTAGCTGTAAACAGTCTCCCTGATCTGTGTGCCAGTGGGTGTGACTGCATCTAATGACATCGTGAGCGCGCTGCTGAAGCCATTCTTGACTCTGGCTGAGGAGGCACTGGGGCTTACCGTGGGAATGCTGTCGAGGGATATGTAGCTATGCTGTGTACTGGGTGGAAGAAATCTACAGGTCTGCAGGTGTGTTTCTTTGTGAGCTAGGAAGACAGGTCGTCCGCTCTGATGGTTAATATTGACCGTCAACTTGACAGGATCTAGAATCATCCAGGAGACATATTTCTGAACGTGTGTGTGAGGGTGTCTCTAGACTGGATTAATTAACACAGGCAAACTAACTCTAAATGTGGATGGCAGTCATTCCATGGGCTGAGGTCTTGAACTAAACAAAAAGGTGAAAGCTGGTTGGGCGCCGGCATTTGCTGGCATCTCTCTCTGCTTCCAGACTTCAGAGGCAATGTGACCAAGCTACCCCACGTTGCTGCGACCGTGAGCTAAAACATTACACCTAGATGGCCCAGCTGGGGAGTCGGAGGCACACAGTAGTAGGCCATGAGCTGAGTTGCTGTTCGGCTAGACAGACAGGGACAAAATGAGAGAGAATGGAGCTGCTGGCATGCAGGAAAGATGGGGAGCCTGCTCACAGTGGAGGCTGAGAGGATGCAGTGGGGAGGGAACTGAGTCTAGTGATGGGAGGGTCACACCCTGGGAGTCAGGACTTAGAGGAGGTGAGTGTGGGTACCACCCGTGGCCCTGTGAGTGATGAGGGACCCGAAATCAAAAATCTCCATTGTACTTTCTCTGAGCCCCAGAAACGCAGGCCCTCTTCTGCCGAACACTCCCGTTATTTGTTCTTTAAAAGGCTCTGCTTCGGGTATTCCAGACCCACCCTCCATGTACCCATGTTACCAGCTTGCTCTTTTGAGGACAGTGATGCATTTTTTTTTTTGCTCAGTCAGTACCGTGGTCAGGTGCATGGTGACATCAAAGGTGACATTTCAAGGGATATCTCGCTGCCCGTCTCTTCCTTGGAACACAGTGTTATGAGCTTGTATCTTCTCTTCAACATTTTAGGATCATGGCAGCGCTGTCTGCAAGGAAATTACTGGTCCGGAGAAGCAGGCTCTCCCAGCTGTGGGGTTAACCATCAGGGAGCTGACCGGAAAGCTTTCCAAAGCTGAGCGGATTCTGCATTCCGTCCAGCGTCCACCCACACCCACCTCCTAGGACGTTTGTTTAGGAATCTGTCTTAAATTCCAAAAAGGATGAAATGGCTTCATACTCAAAAAAAAAAAAAATCAGGCTAAAGAGGCCAAAATACCAGAAAATGACATTCTGGCCCAAGCAAAAATTATTTATTAGTATTTAGGCTTGAGATGACACAGTTCAAGATCCCTCCCTCCAGATAACCTCAGTCCACATCTGGAGTGGGAGTAGTGGAGCAATACATACATTTCTGCTTTTGTTCAGATTTGCTTCCCTCTTCCTCCAATTTGGAGACTAGTCTTCATTTTTAAAAAGGGTGGGACAAATCTGGCTGAGAAAGTTTGGCTGGGCCTTGACCACCCTTCCACCTTGGGGACGGCCGGGAGTGAGAGAACCACATCTGGTTATGCTAGCTCCCTGCTGCTGTGCACCGGGCTTCATAGCCTGCAGGGCCAAGGCAGCGGTGGACCTCCAGCTAGGTAGATTGGGTCAGACAGGGTCTCTCACTAAGCTGAAGCTTGATGTTCCAGCTAGGATGGTTGCCTGGTGAGCTCCTGGCGTCTGCTGGCCTCTACTCCCTAACACTGGGGTTAAGCATACCACGCCCAGCTTTTCATGAGTGTAGGGAATTGGTATTAGCAGATGCTTTCCACACCAAGTGCTCTGGCCCTCTGTGTAGCTTTGCGCCTTTCCTGGAACTCACTCTGTAGCCCAGGCTGGCTGCAAACTCACAGAGACCCACCTGCCTCTGCCTCCCAAGTGCTGGGATTAAAGGTGTGTGCCACCACCGCCCGGCTTTTTCCTGTGGTTCTTTATGTGACTCCATTGTGGGGAATTTGTGGGACATGCCTGCAGATAGACACAGGATAGTGATGGTACGTTTCCGAGCTTCTGTCCAAGCAGCAACCTGAAGAGCAGAAGACCCAGAAGGAGAAGCTGGGGCATGTGCTGGACGAAGATGAATGTGTCCTTCCTCTGACTTTAAAGCCATAGTTGCTTTTATTATCCCCTCAAGGCTAACAGTAGAGTTTCGTAGACGCACATTCACATTGGCAGAAGTACCATGCAGCCTTCTCTCATACTCTCTGCATAAGTAGCTCCTCACTTCAGCCCCATTTACTATCGCCACATTAAATATAAATGAGAAAGCCATTAGTATCTTGGCCTTGTCCTATGCTTCAGAGTGGAGAGCATAATTCTGCCACTGCAACCTCATTTTAATCCTGACTTTATTGCTTATAATAATCCTTGTACGAGTTGTGCCTGCGCATATATTTCTCAATGTTTTAGGGCCTCCGTCTCTTAGCATTCATATTATACACGTGGAATAGATAGTAAAAATGAAACACTTGAATTTGAAATTTAGGTGAAGCTGCTTCTGATAGAGTACAGGTGTAATGGATAGGTTCGAACATCATCTTCTTCCTCTTATATTTCTGGAATGATCAAAACAGCCAAATGGTCCTCACCAGCATATCATTAAAGAATATTTGTAATAAAGTCACAATCACAAGCTGAATTCCTCCCCTCCCCCCGACCTCTTTCTGTGTCTATGGACCTGAACAGTATGTGTTTAAGAGACAAGTCATGGATACAGTTGGGTTATTTATGTTATTCACATGCAGCCTTTTGATATGTTCTAGCTTTTTTTTTCTGTTGCTATGACGAAACACTCTGACCAGAAGCAACTTAGAGGAGGAAAGGGTTTGTTTCAGCTTGTACTTCCGGGTCACAGTCCATCACTGAGGGAAGTCAGGGCAGGAACTCAAGCAGGACTTGAAGGAGAAACCATGCCACTCCTGACTTTTTGTGTGGATTCTGGTATCTGAACCCAGGTCCGATGCTCTTCCCCACTGAGCCAACCCCCCAGCCTGTGTTCTAGCTTAATCCTATGGTTCCTTATAGCTGTAGTTATGACCCAGGCACTCTCCTGTCATACACGCGTGGGTTATTGTTTGTCTCGACTGCCACAAGCTCACTACTATCAATATTCTTGTATATCTTTCTCACTTGCAAATGCATTTTCTTTTCTTGATCAAATGCCTACAAAGGGCATCTGCGCTGAAGAGAGGTGCAGTAATGATCAGATACGAGACCATCCTGGTGATTTCCTAAAGCATGCTAAGCTCTGTGCTTGCTCTTACCAGTAGACAACCAAAGTCTCCTTCCTTCAAAATTGTGCTTTAAAAACATCCTGTTGTTGGGGGCGGGTGCAAAAAAAAAACCAAAAAAACAAAAAAAAACCCATCCTGTTGTGTTGTACTGTGGGGCGTGTTGGTTTTTCCCCAGTTCCTGGTGTTGTGACTGGCATGTCAGCTCACACCTGCGCACTCCATCCTTCCGATGGCTAATGGCCGTGTTGTCCTACTTCTGTCCTTTATCCATTAGGCTGTATTTTCCCTCACTGACTTGAAACCAGTCTTTATACATTCTGGAGAGTATTGGTAGTATTGCCTGCCAAAAATAGCGGCTCCCAGTTTGTGCCATTGATTTTCATTTTCTGTGAAGTGTCTTTTTGATGGCCGCACGCTCTTGACTACAGCATGCAGAATCTTATCAATTTTGCCTGACAGTTAAGGGCCTGAGGATTAAGGGAATGCACCTGAGATGCTCTATATCCTGAGGTCCCAAGGTGCTCCTTTTTGTTTTCTTTGGACAGTTTTGTAAATTATTGGGTGCTACTTTGTGTGGGGGGTATTGCAAGCTGACATGGTTTTTTATCCATGGGGGACAAATGGCACACAAGACTCTATTGATTAGCCCCCCCACCCCTTTTTCTCCACCAATCCTGATGACATGCTGTGATGGTCTGAATAGGAATGTCCCCCATAGACTCGTGTGTTTGAGTGCTTGGCACCTAGGGAGTGCCACTATTAGGAGGTCTTGCCTTGTTGGAGGAGGTATGGCCTTCTTGGCGGAAGTGTGTCACTGTTGGGGTGGGCTTGGAAGTCTCAGAAGCTCAAGCTCTGCCCGGTGTGGGACAGTTCACTTCTTGTTACCGGCAGATCAAGTTGGAGAATTCTCAGCTACCTCTACAGCACCAGGTCTATGTGCCGCTGTGTCCCACCATGATGATAATAAACTAAACCTCTGTAAGTGTAAGCCAGCTCCCACTCAATGTTTTCCTTTATAAGAGTAGGTGTGGTCATGGTGTCTCTTCACAGCAGTAAAAACCCCGACTGAGACCACAGCCACACTGTCGTGTGTGTTGTGTATCTGTTTGGGGTTGCTCCTGTCACTTTTTCTGCTCGTCTCTGTGTCACTGCTTCTTAGGGTGTCACCGTAGCTCCTGAGGAGCTTCCATATTTGGACTCCAAGAAGTTGTAACCTCCTCCTGGCTCTACGTAGGCTTTTCACGTTCTACAAAATTGTAGAGTTAATTGATAAAGCATCATAGCATCAGAAGCAAAAACAAAGCAAAACTCACCCTGACCTGGACAGCTTTGTCAACCTGACAGAGTCTGGAATGAACTGAGAGGGAAGCCCTTGACTGAGGAATCGCCCAGATCAGATTGACCTTGGGCAAGTCTGTGAGAGATATAGTATCGGTTGTTAACTGATGTAGGTGGGCCCGTCATCTGTGGGTGGCCCCATCCCTAGCTAGGTGACCTGGGTTGCACAAGAAAGCTCACTAAACTTGAGCCATAGAGCAGTCTAGCAAGTGAGCCAGCTTGTGGTGCTTCTTCATGTGTCTTGCCTTGAGTTCCTGCCTCGACTTCCCTAAATGGTGGACTGGGGTATAGGAGTGTAAGATGAGGTAAGCCCTTTTCTCCCTTTGGTCATGGTGTTTTACCACAGCCACGAGAAAGGAAGCCAGAGCACAGCCTGCACCATAGCAAGGACATAAAACCAAACCCAGCAGACCCGACTGAGGAATTGACTGGTTCGCGTTAACTCTGCAGGTCGACAAGACCTTATGGCCATTTTTTCCCCATTGAACTTGCTTATGGGGACATTGGGTCTCTATCATATGCCACCTCTTCACAGCTTTGTTTACTTTTGTCTTGTGCTTTTGTATAAATGAGCCTTATCTATCTGTGCAGTCTAGTTTTATGTCAACTTGACACAAGCTAGAGTTGTTTGAGAAGAGCGAACCTCAGTTGAGAAAATATCCCTTTCAGGTTGTCTGTGATGCATTGTCTTGTTTGAGGATTGATATGGGAGGGCTGCCATCCCTGGGCTGGTGGTCCTGGGTTCTGTAAGAAAGCAGGCTGAGCAAGCCATGGAGAGCAAGCCAGTAAGCAGCACCCCTCCATGGCCTCTGCATCAGCTCCTGCCTCCAGGTCCTTGCTCTGTGTGAGTTCCTGCTCTTACTTTCCTGGACGATGGAGTGGGACCTGAGAATCAGAAACTGAAATAAACCCTTTCCTCCCCAAGTTGCTTTTGGTTATGGTGTTTTATCACTGCTGTGGAAACCCTGACTGGGACACACTCTGGTGTGGAGTTTGTTCCCAGCTGCCTGACTTGGGGAACAGCAGCCGTCAGAGTCTGCCCACACATTCATTGATTTTTTTTTTTTTTGGCTGACCCCCCATGGAATCACTTTATCACATCTTCAGTATTCTTTAAAATCTGTCTGAAGATTCCCCTACCTATAAAATTCAGTTGTGAATAATGAAAAATAGGTTACTCCACTTGGTTTTTCTGTTTGTAGTAGAGGAATTTCTGTTGAGGAGGAATGAAAGCAGTGAAGTAATTAAAACTGATTTTAATTAAAGCTGTTTGTTGTCACTTTTCTCTCTGCGTTCGGTGTAGTAGGCTAAGGAAGTCCACCACCACCCCCTTTTGGTTTGTGTTTCAGAGTTCTGTCTTCTGTTTTTTTTTTTTTTATCACAGATGCATGTTGAGGTTTCCCTCAGTATGGTGGGATCGGACCCATTTCCCACCAAGTTTTTTTTTCCTGTGTTACTTGACACGTTGCTTATTGTAATGTCAAATTCTCTTGCTGTCCTTGGAGAAACATGTTTAAATACATGTCTCACGCACATCTGGATTCTATTTGCTCATATTTTGTTTTAAATTTTTCTTCCTTTACTCATGAGAAAGTTTGGCCTATGCTTTTTCCTTTCTCTAACTGCTTTTATCTGATTTAAGAGAAAAGTGGTTTTCTTAACTCTCAGTTAATCACTCTACTCCATTTCCTCAGAAGATTCTTTTGATGTAATGTGAATTACATGCTCCTGACAGTTTTGTTGGGCTCAGTTATAGCTGAAGCCTAGTGATCCATTATGGGAAGACACTGTTGGGAGCATCATGTGGGTGCTCGGAACTCAACTCTGGTCTTCAAGATCAGCGAGTCTTCTTGACCTCTGAGCCAGCTCTCTAGATCCTTAGTACTTCATGTGAAATTCACCTCAAGTTTGTACATTTTTTTTCTTTAGAACATCAGAGGGAAGCTGATTTGTCTTTATTGCTACTGCATGTTCAAGAAGCTCCATGGCTCACAGCTGACTTCATTGTGCAGAGCATGCACAATGTGGGAGTCCTTCTCTGCTAGGAGGTGTCTGACAACCATTGTGTACATGGTCAATGAAGAAGGAGTGACTAATAGCCAAGGTAGAAGAAGCATTTTGGATGAATTTGAGCTAATTTGGGCAGTTCAGCTCTCACTCCTGTGTAAGAGCAGGGGCTTCTGCCTGTGTCCTACACACATGAAGAAGGAACATAGGAATTGTAAGATTGGTAATTTTCTGACTGGGGAGATGGCATAGTCGTTAAGAGGCTGCCATACAGGTCTGAGTTTGATGTCCCCAAATTTATGTTAAACAAAAGCTTAGTGTGATGCCATGTCTTGTTATCCTGGGCTGGGAGGGACAGAGATGGGTGGATCCATGGGGCTTGCTGAAAAGCCAGTCTAGCAGAACTGGCAAGCTCTGGCTTCAGTGAGAGATCCTGTCTTAAACAGTCAGTGAGAGACCCTGCCTCAAACAATAGCGTGGGGAGTGATGGAGGCACTTGATGTTCAGATGCACTCTCCACACCTTCACACACGCGTGCAGAGATGGGTGGTTATCAAGTCTAGTTCTGGATTGATTTCATGGTTTCACATTGCCTGTTTTTTTCTTTCATCACCATAGAGGGACCTGAGACCTTCACCTTCCTCCGAAACAGTGAGTAGTGTATTTGATAAGTGTAGAAACTTCTTTGTTCCATTTTATTTTCTCCAGTGACTTGAAATTGGAGCATACATCAAGGTTTCACTGCCAGGTGCATTTACAAGGTGCCCAATTGCATGGAGTGGGGTCCCTTTCTTCTGCAGATCTTACTGTGAGTTAATATGCGTCTAAATGTGGAACCACGCCAAGTTCAGCTTTGAGTGAATGGTCAAGATCATTCCGTGCAGTGGTTTCCAGACATTATTTTGGGCATGGCCGTGTAGTGATCTTTTCTCACAGGTTACCTTAAAACTAAGTTCAAACAGCATTCTGCCCAGGCCCAGATTGGAACAAACCCCTGTGGCCTGTGCTCACCACAGTCTCCCAGCCGATGCTCCCAAGACAAAGTCAGAAAAACCTACAAATTCCCCAGGAACTTAATTTACTCTTGACCCCATTTCAGCAGAGATGAAACCAGATACAAAGAGCGTCACAGGGCCGGCCAGTGGCTCAGAGTGCCTTTCCAAAGCCAGGCACAGTGGCTCCTTCATGCAAGGCAATTAGGAAATGGTTACATTTCCACTTTTATTATCCCTTTTCCCTTTTCCCCAACGATTTGTTCATTTTTGAAAATTTTATATGTTTGCATGTGACCTATGTGTATGTGTGTGCATTGTGTGCATGCCTGATCATGCCCATAGAGGTCAAAAGAGGGTGTCACTTCCTTGGGACTGGAGTTACAGATAGGTGTGAGCTATCGTGTGGGTGCTAGGAACTGAACTCGGGTCCTCTGGACGGGAAGCCCCTGCTGTTAATCCCTTGTTGCTTCTTTAAAACCAGCCTCCTCTCAGGACAATTGCTCACACTTATTACAGCCTGGCCCAGTAACCACAGTTCCAGTTCTGAGTCTGGTGTGTCCTAGACTTGGGAAGACTTCCTGGTGTCCAGGGATGGGCATGGGGACAAAAATCCCTGCTCTCTGGACTGTCCTTTATTTGCTGGTCCATGCTGGGCTTCTCCCTGTTTGTCACAGGGAGTTGGTTCTTCCCAAGCAGACAGACCACATGCTATTTCTAGGCTGTAAATTTCCAAAGCTGTTTCCCCATCCACCTCTCCAACCACACGCTGGAAAGAGACGTGTGTTTCCAGCTATAATCGGTACACTTAAATACTGGTTAAATTCAGGGGGAATGCAAAATCCGTACATATCCTGACCCTGAACGAGGCTATAAAAATCTACCATGACCAAAGGCCCTCTGGGGGCCTTTCAAAATAAGGTGATCCTTTTTAACCTTTTAAGAGCTTATTGGGGGGTGCCAGAATAGCACAGACCACATTTAAGGGGTTGTCTGATTCATAGGGGACTGTGTCTGACCGCTGAGGAGTCCTGGACGCTCACTGGCAAATTCTTTTCTTGTTTCTATTTTTACTGGAGATGAGGTGCCCTGAAAGGAGATCATTCCATTTGCTGGTAAACTCCTGAGGGTCCTCCCTAGCCTTGGGGTCCTTGATATCCAGTGCTGGGACTATGCCTGAAAGAGGTGTGTCAGAGGCACCCCCTAGGAAGGCCTTGCAACTGTCTGCCTTACCCATTTGTTGATGGGTGTGCTTTTGTATTTCAGTCTAGAGGTTATAGTATACATCCCTTGGTGGCTTGTGGGAAGCTGCCTAGTCACAGGCGACCACACTGAGGTACCCTGGGCTTCATATGCTTGCTTGGGAGTGTGATTGGCAGTTGAGTCTTAAGTTTGAGAATCTCTTAGACCCAGATTCCCTCTGTTTCATAGAATCCTTGGGTCTGCCTGATGCTCTGTCTGTTACAGTGGTATCTACAAGGTTACTTGGCTTCCAGCCAAGAACAATCGTCCATGCTTCTAAAGGCACGCAAGCATAGAAGGCTCCCCCTCACACATGATCTGATAGCCGTGCAGAAAATAGACACACCATGGGGAGAGCACAAGATGCTTTCTAGTCGACCCTCACCTTTTAGAGTCTCAGCATTTGCCTATGAAGCCGCTCAGCTACTTCCTTCTTTTTTTTAAAAAAAATTATTTGATGGGGCTGGAGAGAGCTCTCAGTGTTTAGTTAAGAGCACTTTCTGCTCTTACAGATGACCTGGCTTCAGTTCTTAGCACCCACATGGTGGCTCAGAACCATCTGTAACTCTAGTTCCAGGAGATCTGATGCCCTTTCCTTGCCTTTGTGGGCACCAGGCACATGGTGCACATACATAGATGCAGGTAGAGCATTCATACACATAATTTTTAAAAATTACTTGTTATTGGTGGTGGTGGTGGTGGTGGTGGTGGTGGTGGTGGTGGTGGTGGTGGTGGTGGTGATGGTGGTGGTGGTGATGCTCTGTCTCTCTCTCTCTCTGCATGTGTGTCTGTGTGTATCTGTGTCTGTGTCTGTGTGTGTGTGTGTGTGTGTGTGTGTGTGTGTGTGTGTGTGTGTGTGTGTGTCTGTGTGTATCTGTGTCTGTGTCTGTGTCTGTGTGTGTGTCAGGGACAACATTGTGGAGTTGATATTCTTTCCTCACACCTTGACATGGGTACCAGGTATCAGACTCAATAGCAAGAGCCTTTAACCCCTGAGCCCTCTTGCTGGCCCCACAGAATACTCTTAAATGTCAAACATCTTGAGACACCTGTAATTGAATACTCCCATCAGGGCTGTGTGAACTAAGTTGGACCCATGAAGCAACTCCTAAGGGGCCGCCTCTTCTTCTCTAGGCTACCAACACATTTCGAGTGTCCTCCAGAGACTTCAGTCCACTCTTCAGGTCACAGGACTCTGCTCTGTCTGCGATATACCTGCTCTTTGTACAGGTGTCTGTGGGAAGTGTGGGAGTGGCTTTTTGGAACAGTATCATGAACAAGATGGTTACTCGGCAAGTGGCTCATCTGATGTCCCATGGGCATTGGCAGAGCTGGGACCAAAGAACATGCTGCACAGGGTGATGGCATGGGGAGTGAGCACCCTATGTTGTCCATCCTGAGCCTGTTTCTAAGCAGCTTTGCATGGTTTACCCAGAGCTGCCTCTTCATGGTGTTTGACCAGTACAGCAATCTCTTGGAGCAGCATCTGGACTCAGCGATGCACCAATTCTCCTTGTCCCCTGACATCTGGGAGAATACCTGGAGGCACACCCCGAGGGCCACCTCTTTGCAAACGCTTCTATTTTTAAATAAAAGAAATGTCTTCACTCCCTCCCACCCCGTTTCCAATCTTAGAACCGTGGATTGTCTTGTAAGTTCTGCAGGCCACCACGCACTCCACTCCCACCACCGGTCCCAATCTGTCTGTTTTCGCCAGCTCCCTGTCACAGTCTCAGCTTTTCTTCTGGGGTTACAGCTGAGGCTTCTAAAGTTGGATGTCTGCAGACTGGGGATGGGAGAGCCAGCCTGGGATCCCAGGGATACACATGGATCGCTGGAGGGCTGTCACCGTTGCTCCGAAGGTGACAGATGGGAGCATACGTTGTCTTCTCTACCCACAATGTAGGGAGCACATATGGTCTCGCCCTCCAAGTTGGGACTTGATCGCCACTCTGCCTGGCCTGAGCAGGCTCTTTCAACACTGCTGAGCTGGGCTGTGGTCCCTTGGCACACCCGCTGGTGGGGTGCTGAAAGCAGAATGTCAAGGTCCGTCTCATCCAGCGGACTGCTAAGAGAGGGACAGGATGCCGCAACACACCAGAACAAGCCTTTCTCAGTCTCACTGTCTCTGTTTCTCGGTGCTCAGTCAGCCTGGGCAAGCAGAAGACAGTGGTATATATATCCAGTAGATCAGCGTACTCAAATGAACGTCCCAGATCCGGACATAGAGATCTCCGGCCCCATCAGCATCTATCTTTATCAAATACCTCTTACAAGCCACAGCTACTCTTGATGTATCACTTCCCTTAGGGAGTTCTTGGCCCTGGGCTGTGGCTCCCGCCTCGTGTCTCTTCCATGGGGGAGCATTCCCGTGTCACAGTAGTAAGCTCATGGAACTTTAATATGGTTTTTTTTTGTTGTTGTTGTTGTTTGTTTGTTTTTGGTATGCCAACTCATAGCCTTCTGTCCACTATTCTGGGAAGGTCCATGTGACCATGATCAAGTTCCTTGATGGCCTGATTCTCAGTCTTACAGTTATCTAGGTAGACATCTGGGGGGGGGCTTGAGCTGGAGTAGATGTGGGTTGTTCCCTAGGTGTGGCTGCAGCACACGGACATACCAGGACTCTTTCACCGTCCCATGTCACACTGGCTTCCGATAAGTAGACTCACTGTGTCTGGAGGAGTTCATGCTTGCAGCAGCAGGGTATAGTCATTGTTTCTGATCCTAGTGCATCTCAGCAACATCAACAGGTATTTACCTTGAGTGTTTCTCATGGAGCCTGGGTGTTTACACTCTTCATTTTCCCATGGACTCTTTGGTGGTCTGACATGGGCATCTGAGACACACATTTTCTGACCTCGTCCTCACAACAAGCATTCCTTCTCTTAGTTGTAGGGATCTCCATCATCCGACAGGAGCCACCTTGCTGAGATGTACTGGTCTAGCGTAAGCTCAGGTCTGCCTGGGCTCATATAACTTCACTCACTTTCTCCTGCTCTGTTTTCCCCTGAGCTAATTCAATGCAGGATTCACCCCTGGAGGTACCTGCTGTATAAAAGGCATTTGCTAACACTGCAGGGCAGGGGTTTCCTCAGCAACCTGGAAGGGACGGCAGGGAAGGCTAAATCAGGACCTGGGTTTGGTGACTCATGTGCCATGAGTGATGTGCTGTGCAGAGGGCCAGGTTAAGAGCAGCCATTTGGGAGGCCTCTGGACCTCTGGACATAGCCCAGGAACTAAGTGCATTCCACTAAGCAGCTGCTCCCGTTACTCTTCCAATGATCCTGTGCTTGGGGCGTGCTCTAGGTCATTGCATAAAGCATTTCTGTCCGACCCTTGTTACTACCCTTGAAGCAGACACATGGGGGGCGGGGTGTGTGCATTCCCTCCAGAAGGACTGAGGCAGGCCGTGTG